TTCCAGCTGAACCTAGACCAAATTGCTGACCCATAGAACTCTGAGCAAATAAAAGTGGTTATTGTTTCAAGACACTAAGTTATGCAGTGGTTTGTTATGCAGCCATAAACAACAGATATATGTGCCTAGAATGGCAGAGTTAGTTTCCCTTCTCTACTAGCATGTTGCACCAGCAACAGGAAAAGGACAGGTTGGGGTCATTTTCCTCAAATGGAGATTATCATAGCACAGGCAAAGGCTTCAGGAACTCATTTCTCAGCCCATGCAGTAGGATATGATTTCAGGATGTCCTCAAGTCCTCTCCAGGTACACTACCATTCCCCAGTTCTCTCACCTGCTCTCTGATGCTTGGCATTTCTTTAGTTGGGGGCTAAGAGTTATACTACACAAATTAAAATACATTACTTTAAAATATTCCATTGTATTAAAATGCAAACACTCTTGAGAAGTAATCTACTAACTTAACATTTCCCCAAGATTCAAGTAACTGTCTTCAGATCTTCTCCAAAGAGCGTATTTTGAAAGAAAGAGCACTGGTCCCCTGAAAGAGGGCTTAGGCTAAGAGAAGCCATTGTTTGCCTAGACTTTTGTTAAGAATACAGACCTGTCTTGTGCCATGGGAGACTAGTAGGACAACAGGAGACCTTGCCCTCTTTGTTTTGTATCTTCTGAAGTGATCAGACAGAAACACAGAGAGGAATACAGCAGTAAGACACCTGCTTCTATCTGCAGGGCTTTCCAGGGTCTCTGTCAGAGCTGGGTATTTCTCGCCCCATCTTATGGCTACTGGGCATCTCATCTCTCATCCTGGTGAAAGACTTGTCACCACCATAGTGTGCGGTTTAGTTGATCACTAGTTCTAGGGTGCTCCCTGTCTTCCACCAACAACATAGTGGTAGGGGAGGAAAAGCTCAGACTAGAAAGTTCAAGATGCTTCTGGCTCTGACACTGGCGCCAAGCCTACTGGTAATTTCTGAGGGAAATGCACATGAGGTGAATGAACCACAGTATGGGAAATGACCCAACATGCTTCAGGGCTAAGCGACTGTAATCATAATTCTACCAGACTGTACTTCCATATTTAAGGCTACTGATTTTCAAGTTTGTGTCTGAACTGCCTGGTTTTTGCTTGGTTACAGATATGAAATAGTTAATTCTACAGTTTTAAATTTAGCGAAAGCTCTGGCATAAATACACAGCTTCAGAATGCTGGATACCACTAATGGCCACATGTACTATACACATGGTAATATTACCCAACAACTGAAATAATGGCTCATGAAATGACTCTTCTAACTCCAATTATTCATTTCCTTCTCATTCTCCCTCTAACAGCAGTGACACTAGACATTGCAGGTTTACTTCACTCCTCATCTGAACCTTTGGCCTAGTGACTTATCCCTTGAGGCATGCTATAATCACTAAGAAATGTTATCCCTGTCACTTCTTATTGCTTAATTATGGTTCTATTTTAGGCTCCTGGAATTATTTGGCTTGGAAAGACCTCCCTTATGTGTGATCTTTGAACAAGCCTCCATGTTGAGTTATCCTTGAGCTCACATTGTCTGTTCCATTTACATCTTGTTCTGACTTACGCAATACTTAACTGCCCCTTGGTTCCACAACACCTTGAGTAATTGTAATGAGCTCTAACATTTAAGCTATTTTTCATCTAAAGAGATACCATCAACCCTCAGTCAGAAAGGTCTGTTCTTAAAGTAGTTTTTCCCAATGCCTGATGGAGTTTTGCACTGATGAATTCCAATGGGTCCCCTATTTTAAACCAGTGACAGGGAAAAAGCTTCCCTCTTTCCGATTCACTCTTGTCCTGGGGACTGTGCTTTAAAAACTCAAAATCTGCACATATTGTCTCTTTTTTTTCTTTTCTTTTTTTGACATGGTCTCACTGTGTTGCCCAGGCTGGAGTGCAGCGGCATGATTTTGGCTCACTGCAACCTCTGCCTCCCAGGCTCAATTGATCCTCCCACCCCAGCCTCCCAAGTAGCTGGGACCACAAGCGCACACCATCATATTTGGCTAATTTTTTGTATTTTTGGTAGAGATGGGATTTTGCCACATTGTCCAGGCTGATCTTGAACTCCTGAGCTCAAGTCATTTGCCCACTTCGGCCTCCCAAAGCGCTTGGTTGTATATGTGTTGCTTCGTAGTACTAAAGGCGAACTGAAAGATATGGCAGGTCCTAGGCACATGCATAGACTGCAAAACTGGATAGAATAAAGTTAAGAGTGTTCTACAAATTTGGGACTTCTGGAGGATACATCCATGTTCAGTGTTCCAATCACTTATTTTGCTTTCCATTAAGACATTGTTTCATATCAGCCTGTTTTATGAATGTGAATCCTATTGCTTCAATTAGAGTATAAGCTTCTCAAGAACAACAGGCAGAGATCATATGCCTCTTACATAGCTCTGTCCCTATAGATAGCTCTACTCAGTTGTTTGATCAATTGCATAAATAAATGATATTGTATTTTCAAGACAGCTGTTTGGGATTAGGAGCTTGCAAAAATAGCCTGACATTAAGATAAAGCCAGATTGGAGAACAGTGTTCCTGCTTCATCCCGCCAAAGAATAGTTCAGATCAGGCCTAGGATAGATCTATGTTGAGAAAGGGTATAATTACCCTGATCCAGAGTGGCCCCAGGTCTTGCCTGGCAGACTGAGTTACATCTATCAGGGCCTTTTAAAAGGCTTACTTGGCTCCTTAGAAATATAAATAAACTCAAAACATCATTTATAAAGGTCACTGGGAATGGCCGGGGTCAGAATAACTTGAGTCCATTTTGTGCCAATGCCACGAAGAGGAAGTTGCTGAATACTTAGATAAGTTCCTTGAGAGTACTATGTTGCTAAATGCAAACCCAGAATGAGAAGTTTATAGCTGAATTTTTACTCTGTAATTCAAATGCCAATCCAGCAATGAAATACGCTGTAGGAATTCCAGTAAGAGATTATCATCTGACTTGGAAACCAGCTGTCCTCAGTGAATACAAAGATTTACCACCTGCAAGTGCTGTAATTCAGCAGAACGATGCAGAGGTGAAAAACTCAAGTTTTTATTTAAGTGCAATGAAGACTGTGCTTTAACAAATTTTGCTTCTCTGAAACCCCCCCAAAATGGCCCTAAAGAAAGGAATAGAAAATCAAAGTATAAAAACCCTTCAATTCAGGAATTTAAGTTTACCCAAGTAAATGTATACTTTGAGAATTACTACAATTTGGTAAAGATTATCTTTTAAATAGAACAAGTGAGATAACACAAAGAGGTGGCCCCTAGATTACTTTTCACATCATTAAGAATCCACACCTTAGCTCTAAGAATTTGAGAAGTGGAAGCAAGAAGTTTAACCCCGGGAGGGACAGTTCTATAAAGTGCTGCAATAAACTCATGGCAGTAATTTTGAACCAGTAATTTCCTTCACAGAAATTAACAATTATTGTGTATTTGTGAATTGATATATCAAACCCTTTCAAACGTACTGTATTTTATTTTAAACATGTCTATGTCAGGGTGATCCCAGAAAAGCCAGTGCATATGGTCTTCATACCAATGAACCCTCACTTCTTACTCATTTGCTCTTGTTCCTCCCACAGATGGGATACAGCTGCCTTTGTATAAAACTGATGCAATATGACTTTGTCACTTATATCATCACCTGAGTACTCTCATACCACCCTAGGAAAGCCAAGCAAGGTAACATTTTTTCAAAATAATGGGTTCAGTCGACCTTTTATAGCCACATTTGAAAGCACTTCTCTCTCTCACGCACACATGCACACACACACACTCCTCCTCAACAGGTTATAAAGCAAAATTTGCAAGTAGAAGGATGCAGCGCAGTGAACTTCACAGCCTGAAATATGTAAGTGACACATCTGGAATACGGAACAGCAACTTTACTAGCACTTTAAATTTCAAATGAGCCAGCTGGCCAATAAGCTGCTACTGAAATCTTGGGCTCTCAAATTCCTCACTATAAAATAAAATGAGGCTGGGAGCAGGGGCTCACGCCTGTAATCCCAGCACTTTGGGAGGCTGAGGTGGATCACCTAAGGTCAGGAGTTTGAGACCAGCCTGGCCAACACGGTGAAGCTTTGTCCCTATTAAAAATACAAAAATTAGCCAGGCGTGGTGGCAGGCGCCTGTAATCCTAGCTACTCAGGGGGCTGAGGAAGAACTGCTTGAACCCGGGAAGCGGAGGTTGCAGTGAGCTGAGATCGTGCCACTGCACTCCAACCTGGGCAGCAGAGTGAGAGTCTGTCTCAAAACAAAAAACAAAAAACAAAAAAAACAAGATTAAATTAGATTATCTCTGAGGTCTCATCTAACTTATTTTTTTTTCATGGTTCTCATTTCTTCATATATCTTTGAAGTGTTCAGACTGAGAATTAAGATTGCACATATCTGCATTTAACCAATATTATAAAACCTCATTGATAATCAGTTTTCCTTAACAGAGGCTTAACAAAAGTAAATAACTGTATGTACCACAAGGAGATCCAAGATGCATTATTGTCACACAATGCTTAACACATACTAAACTGTTAGAAATTTTTTTAAGGTAAATGAAAGACACTGTGAGTACATCAGACTTGTTTATTCCTTAGAAAAAGAAGTGTGTTAGACAATGAAACTTTTGGCTTTTATGTATGTCATTCATAAATAAAAGCAAAACTATCTATAGAAATGCTTTAGAGAAGTCAGTAATGAAATGTTATACTTTCAACTCAAATTACGTAATATAAAAATATAAAGCTCAACTATATTATTATTACCAGAAGATAATACCCTCAAACAAACCCATTTAAAAACAGGACGTCCCTAAGTTTTTCAGAAACTTTTATGGATACAATCTTATATTTGTGCTTATGTTCTCTGATAATAATTGTTTTTTTTTTTTTTAAGTCCTCAAAGGTAATATTTTGACTTTTTGGAATTTCTGGTAAATAAATCATAATTTAATGTGATACTCACAGACTTTGTGAGAAAATTACAATATTTATTTACACATTTACATACAGCACAATGTATTGGTCAAATACTAGTAACAGGTAATTAACAAACTAACAAGAAAATCAGCTTTTAAGTGCTTCATGACAGGGTAATTCATGTCCAACATATCAAACACATATTTATAGACAACTTTAGAAAGAAAATACATCCTTTTTTGATCATCACAAGTAGCAATGAGATTTTCTATATTATTTTCAGCCTCACTTTAGAAATGTTTTAATTGTCTAAATTTAATCAATTCATCGATTAAAGGAAAGACAATATAATAGTAAAATTACATGTATGTTTATATATACGTGTGTGTGTGTCAAATAACAAAACGCAGGTTGTAAAATAAAACCATTTGAAGGTAAATTGAAGACAAAAGTGATCCTGGCTTCGGTTGTCTGGTTCTTCACATAAATTCCAATTTCCAAGTTTTACAACTCTAGTAATATCCAGATAGATAATTCAACCTGCAACTTTTTTCTTCGATTCCTGTCTTTCTCTTTTTCACACTGTAATTTTTGTCTTTTTACTGATTAAATAAAATAGGACTTCCAGTCTTAATACATCTCCCAGGAGAAGTGAAATGCGTTCAACTAGGTATTGAGTATCATTTTCCATTCAACTTTTCTATATTTATCTGGTCTAAAAACACTCCAACCATATAGTTTTTCTTCCATCCTTTTAAGTCACTTAACTTTAATTCAGTAAAAAGGGTAATGGAACACTGAAAGAACTGGGCCAAAATCAAGGTGAAATATACCCCCAGAAATAAACTTATCATAATTTTGGATTTTAGAATGGCCAAACATATTAATTTACTAAAACTAATCATGAATTCAAAAATCAGCATTGTTTTAAAGAGGTTTTTATTGGAGGTGAGGGCATAATCTACTGCAAAAAGTATACTTTACTGAATACCATATTAGTTCAAAAGAATACCAGAACTTCATGTGGCCAAAGCAGCTGAAATGTCATTACCTTCTTGATTTGGGCAGTTTGGACTATGAAAGGGGATGCTATTGGAATTTCCACACTGTTCATCTACCTTTGGGGAAACAGCTTGTTCTTGACACTTTTTGTTCTCTTTTGCAAATTCGAAAGTCACACTCTCCTCAGCAGGCTGAAATGGCCTCTCTAAACGAACCACTGGTTTCCTTGCTTCTACTTCTTGTTCACGTAGCAATCTCTCTACCTCCACCTCAAGCTCCAGAGTCTCTTCATCAGCTTGTACATCTAGTTGTTGCATCAACTCCTCCAACTTCTTGGCCTTTCGGAGCTCATTTTGCTGTATGATTGTACAAAGGTGTTCAGTGAGTTGCTCTTTTATCTCAGTCTTGCGCTGCAGATCTAGCTTTGCTGCAATATACTCTGCTTCAGCCCTGTCAAACCGCTTCCTGTAAGGATGTGTATAAAGATAGGTCCATCAGTTTTCCATTGAAGAAGATATTCAAAAGAGGATCTAGAAACGATAATTAAACTCCAAAATTGGGAAAAAATAGATAATGAAAATATGGATATTACTGCTTTACAAACACTTGTCTACATGTTAGACAAACTAGGCCATGGCTGCTGAAACTTTCACAATATCCTTACTTGAATTCACCTAATAAAACACATCATTCTGCACGAATGTTTTCTTTCCAAAGCTGTTTTTGAGAGAAGGCAGTCTAAAAGGTTAATTCAGTGGTATGCTACTTCCGGGGTGGGAGGATGGGGAGCCCTGATTTGTAGCGTTTACATTTTCATGGGATAACTACTACCACCCTGTCCAATTTCAAGCCACCAAGGTGATATTACTGAATGCAGAACTGGGAAGAGATACACAAAATCCACATGAGCCAGGGTAAGCTAGCTTTAGCACACAGCTGGTTAAATTTATAAGAAGTAAGACAAGAGATGGAGAAAGTGGAAAATCGTATCTCTTGATTAATAAATTAGAAAAAAAGAGACAAATTCTGATGGAGAAAGATACGGACAGTGGTTGGGAGATGAATATAAATGGGACAGAGCACACCCAGCAAAATGATACTGGGTGACAGCAAGACATAAACATCAAGTAGAAAACCTCATGAGAGCTATATGCAGGATTTCTCAATCTTGGCGCTACTGACAATTTGGGCCATATAATTATTTGTTGTGAGAAGCTGTCCTGCACACTGCAGGATGCTAAAGCGCATCACTGGCTTCTACCCATTAGTAGCCAGTAATTCTCAAAAGTTGTAACAAGCAAAAGTGTCTGCAGGCATTGCCAAATGTCCCTTTATTGGACAAAAATGCTCCCACTTGAGAATCCTTGGGTTAAGTTGTTCTCACTCTCTCCACTACTCCACTTACACTTAGTAGGAAATTTTACATATTTACACATGTATAAACTCTGTTGATAGGTAATCTTATGTAAAGTCATATGTGAAGCAGAGCAATTCTACCGAAGAAGTCACCGTGCAATCTCACTTTTTTTCTTCTGCATTAGGTCAGTACAAAAAGAAGAGTTATCGTATCTTAATTTATTGTCTTTTGCCTTTTCTATACAATTTGTTGCGTTTCTTTTTGCAACAAGAGGGTCCTTCCTCTTTGTCAGAAAAAAGGTTGATTTCCAACTAGTTCTTCAATTTCATTACCATTAGCAGTTGTGAAGGCCACGCTGCTTTACCTGTTATGAGTGCCTATATCAACTTAGTGTAATGCATAGCTTCTAGTACAAGAGTTATGGCAAAAAGAAACAGGTGTATCTCCTAATTTAGGATTCTCTGTTTTGGAAAAAAATACAGTGAAAATAATAAATGGCTTTCATTTTAGACAACTCAGGGTTCAAAACGTTCCTGACAATTACCGTGTGTGCCCGTTTTGGTTAAGGCTTTTTGTGGATGCAAAGAACAGATATCCAGTCAAACCAGCTCAGGTAAAAATTGGGTTTTATTGTAGGCTGCAAGAGGCAATTTCATAGTCATGTCATCAGAATCAAAGGCTATTCTCTTCAATGCTTAGAAGCAACACATTTTCTCTCATTTCAGCTCTCCTATCACACTCACAGCCCAGTATGGCCACCACCTGCAATCTGTATCAAATTCACTCCACTCAATCTCTCAGTGATCCAATTCCATAGTCTCAGAGAAGAACCTAGGTTTGCCCAGCTCATCTCAGCTTAAACAGAACTCTTAGTGTCAGGCTATGCCATGAACCACTACTTAGCCTATGGATTAAATGTACTGGAGTCGGTGGCCCATCTTTGTTCTAATTAGGTATGCCCCAGGGTCAGCATCCTGAGTCCAAAACACAGTCAGGTTCCTCTGGAAGGGGTTGGGGAAGAGGCATGCAATAATTGAAAATTCCAGTACAGAGACTCTGGGCAGTTACTTAAGCTGAGTCTTGGTCTATCTGTAAAACAATGATGATAAAATACCTCATAGGAGTTTTGAGTATTAAACAGTATAAACGGGGCAAGCTTCCAGTCTCGTGTATGGTAGGTGCTCAAGAAACAGAACTTCTCCTTTAGAACACCAGAATCAAACAGTACTGTTAATGTATTAGTAAGCATGAATCTAAAATTAAGATTACACAAAATTTAGGGACCTAGTATTTATACTTGAAAACTCATTTACATAATGTTAATCTATCATATTTCCTTTTTTTTTATTAAATATAGTAAATGTAAGAATGAGAGTGCCCATTATCTTTCAATAACCCTCTATGTTAAAAGAATTGTTCTAAAGGAACTCTACTGGATACCTAGTTCCCTTATTTCCATACTTTATAACATACCCTGTTCATGTAATATTCTTGCAACAAGACAGGGGTTCTGACATTCTCAATAGGTGTATGAATGCCCTGACCTGACCGTGACTCAAACCTCCCTTCTCTGCAAGTCTGTGGTCTCCTTCAGCCAGTCAAAATCAATCAGTAGAGATTTACAGTATGGACTCATGAATACTGAATTGAAATTAACATCTGCAAATAGGTCCCTTGGTTTCCACTGATCTATCACCCTGGATAAATCACTGAAGATTTTGTATTTTGTTTATTTATTCAAAGTCTTTCTGGTCAGAAATACGAATATATACTCTCCTACAGAGTGATTTAACATTTAAAATATTGATTAGTTTCACAAACTGCACTACCAGCCTACAGTCAGGTGGGTAATACCAAAGTAGCGTATGATGACATTCTGGAACAAAATAGTAAGAGCATTATACATAACATAGTAAGACAGAGTGAACTGGAAATGTAATTATACAATTGTTTTGTTATTTTAAAGGGGGATGGAATGGATCAATGAAAGTTATTTTTAAAGGATTTTAGAAAGTATCTCTTTGTTTTGGTATCCCCTGAAATGTTTAAAAACTCAACCATTAACCCTCTGTATAGCACTGGGTTCCACGGGTCCACTTTTAGTTTTTCAGTTCCTTTTCTGAGCAGTTCTCACTATTTGTATAAATTAGCATTTCATAATTTTTACCTTTTCTTAAGCCTTTCAAACAATGAGAAAATTTACTTATTTAAAAAAACAAAATAAATTATATTTTGCAATTACTAGAGAGGTCCAATGAACCCTTTCATAAATCTAAGATAGAGGAGTATTGCAGTATTTTTATATTTCCTGTATCTTGAAACATTCTGCCATTTCATCATCCTAGGAATTATTTCATCATTACTTATCAATTATTCTCTTTTGCAATAAAAAATTAAAATAAGAAAATAATGATCTAAAAGGATGATGCAATAAGTTATCATTGTTGACCTTCTTTACTGTGCTGTACAAAGTACTATGTCACCTCCAGAAGGTATAAAAGAAGACTGAAAACACCATTTTTGAAAACTGTTTTTAGTTTTCATTTCTGCCTATCCAGTATTAGCAAAGTACAGACAACTGACAGAGGAAGACATTTTGCCACTGTTACAGAAATCAAAAGATGAATCCTGTGGTAGGCTAAAAGATGGCCTCCCAAAGAGAATTCCTAATTCCTGGGACCTGTGAATATTACTTTCTATGACAAATGAGTGAAAATTACCTTATATGGAAAAATATGTGATTAAGGTAAAGGATTTGAAAGGAGTTTATTTCAGATTATACTGTTGGACCCTAAGTATAATCACATGCATCTTTTTAAGAGAAAGGCAGAGGAAGTTTTGAGAGAGAAGAAAAGGCAATATAACTATGGAGGCACAGAATGGAGTGGCGTGGCCACAAGCCAAGGGATGCCCACAGCCACTAGAAGCTGGAAGAGGCAAGAAATGGATAGTTAGAGTCTCGACATTACAAACCTGACACCTTGATTTTGGGTATGTGGCCTCCAGAAATGCAAGAGAAGGAATTTATGTTGTTTTAGGTCACTCAGTTTTTGATTACTTGTCATGGCAGTCCTAGGAAACTAATAGAAATGCAGAGACACATTCTAGAGTCCAGATGATAAAAATCGATTATATGTGAAATCTCAGATGAGTCTTCAGCAAAACATATCCTAGGTGAATTTTCTCAAACTTGAGAATCAGTGAATGAAAAATATATTTCTAAGCATAGAAAGGAAAAATGATATTATCATAGAGTTAATCATTTCAGCAGGGAGAACTTACCCCCAATATTTTACAAGTATCTAGACTATCCCTTGTTGCTACAAGGATGTAATGTAATTATATTCTCTCAGCTTTTCATGTCTGTGAGTCAAACATTACTTGATACAAAGATGGTTACCAGGCTTAAATTCTTATTAAAATCTTTGTTTTACACAATCCCTTTTAATCTTACTTTTAAAAATTATTCATAAAGTGATTTAAAAATATTTGTCTGTGGGTGTATGTTTGTGTGTATGAAGGTGTCTATGAAACCTAGATGGTCAACAGTGATTCAAAAAAATGTTCTACATGCAGCCACTCTTGATTTTGTAAGCTGGTCTGCACAACACATGGCAACACTGTAATCCCAGTGGTGAACAGTAGCAGTAGCAGCAGGAGCAGCAGCAACTCTCTCAAATTGGCTCACTCAAAGTGCCAGTCTTCTCAGAGGTGTCTCTCCAAACACTGCTCTACAGAAGCCAATTTTAAAGCAAGTTCTGGCCTATTCACTATCCAAGAACCTTCTGTGGACATAGCATTGTACCAAATACTACAGAACTAAGATATTATTTTTATTAAAAAAAGAAAAAACAAGGAAATCTCCCATAAAAACTGACTGTCCTAGGGATTATCTTTCACTCAAAATCTGGACCATATTATTATTTTACCAATCTGTAATTTCTCAGTAACCACAAATGCAAATTTAGAAAATGATACCTTAATCTTACACATGAACAAGACACACTATATGGTTCTAATCACCATTGCCTATATTTTCCTTTGACTGAACGCAAGAGCTTCGGCTTTTGAAAATAGCAGCACACGGCCAGGTGTGGTGGCTCACACCTGTAATCCCAGAACTTTGGAGGCCGAGGCAGGCGGATCACCTGAGGTCAAGAGTTCAAGACCAGCCTGGCCAACATGGTGAAACCTCATCTCTACTAAAAATAAAAAAAATTAGCCAGGTGTGGTGGTGGGTGCCTGTAGTTGGGCTACTTAGGAGACTGAGGCAAGAGAATCGCTTGAATCTGGGAGGCGGAGGTTGCAATGAGCAGAAATCACGCCACTGCACTCCAGCCTGGGCAATAAGAGTGATACTCCGTCTCACAAATAAAAATAAAAACAGTGGCACACAACATCTACTTACATTCAACTAAATCAATATTAGTAACATGAGCAACTGTCATCTGTAACTTATTAAAGATGTAAAAATTTACTAAAATTTCATTTAGGATACTTAGAGACTATAGGATGTTTTTTCCTTTAGTAACCCCACCTTCTTTGTGGTTCTTAGAAGGCTAAAACTATGACATTTCTTATATAATACTGAATATGAAAAGGCATCTTTCTCCAGTTTCCACTAGAACAGAATTAAAACAAAATCAAATTACTTTTCTTTTTCTTTTTTTTTTTTTTTGGATACGAAATCTCGCTCTGTCGCCGGGGCTGGAGTGCAGTGGCGCAATCTTGACTCACTGCAAGATCCGCCTCCCAGGTTCACGCCATTCTCCTGCCTCAGTCTCCCAAGTAGCTGGGACTACAGGCGCCCACCACTACGCCTGGCTAATTTTTAGTAGAGACAGGGTTTCACTGTGTTAGCCAGGATGGTCGTGATCTCCTGACCTCGTAATCCGCCTGCCTTGGCCTCCCAAAACGCTGAGATTACAGGCGTGAGCCACCGTGCCCGGCCTCAAATTTCTATTGAGGTACCTAGTACTTGTACCTTATAATATGAATTATTCATATAAAAGGCTACAAAGGCATAAAAATGTTCCTCTCGCAAACTTATGTTACAGAGAATAAAATATGCTACAAATCAAGGCTTAGTTTAATCTTAAATAAAATCTCTGTTACCTCCCTTAATGACCTTATTAATGGAAACCTGGAAGTTCTGGTTATCAGCTACTGATGGCATTCATTTAGGTAGTTAATTAATAAAGACAACCCTTTAAGTCTAACAGCATATGGTCCAACAACAATTACAAGAATCACAAGAACAACCACAAGTCTCTTTCTTAAACACTCAACAGTTAATTAAAAACCACAATCAAGCATTTCCGCTTTAATAAACTGTTATATAAACATTCTGATGTTGTGGTTTACCCTGGCCTAATGAGGCATTTTGATTGATTTCTAGTGTAACAGAGAAAGATACAAAATTGAGTCATTAACACAGCATTCCCTTGCAAAAAAAGACAAACCAGTATGATTAAAGCAATGTTGAAAGGGCTGAAAACCCTGAAGTTGGATATAATTTTTTGCCCTTTTATCTGTCTGCAAAGTCCATGTAATTCATTACATGTGTTAGTTCATTTTAAAAATACTCCATGGTATTTTTTTCTCTTTTAAAAAATGCCAATGGTTGAAACCAAGGAAACATATATTAAACCATCTCATAAGAATATAATTGAAAAAAAAGAAAAGAGAAAATATTTCAAATTTCCAAGACAGTGGATCTGCTTAAAATATTCATAAGCTTTTAAAAACTAAACTAGATCCTCTTACTCTGATGGAAGCTAAAGTGAGAACTAGACTTCAATCCTATAGGACTGTGTCAGATATCAAAAACTTTAATGGAAAGAACACAGACACGGTGTTAGAATAACAGTTTTGGGCAAATCATTCAGATATTTACTTTGCTGGATCCTGAAAGATGCATAAAAAACTTCCAAACATTAAATAGCTGAGGGTTTAGCAGCAAAGACTAAAATGTAAATAAATAATGCAAGATCTGCTCTAATGGCACACGAACAAGGTTAACTAGTAGGGCAGAGTTAAGGAAGACGTCACTGAAGAGCAGACACCTGAATTAGCACAAAAGAGGAATAAATACAGCACTGAATGGGGTGGTTTTGAGGCTTAAATTATGATATATACATAAAAGCCCCTGGAATAGCTGGCAATAAACATTAATTAAATCATACTCCTTGTTCAATTTCCCCAACTCACCGAGCATATGAATAGTCTAAGCTGGCCTGATCAATTCGGTTCCTGAGAATTCCAATGTCAGCTGACACCATGTCATCTAAAGCCTGCAACTCCTTCTGGATCCGCTTTAGTTTCATGGTTTCTGCCTGAGTTCTTTTGGATCTAGAAAATCAGGTATGTGAGTGGGAAAGTAAGAACATTTTAAAACCAAGGGTTCATATACAATGTAAGCGAAAAAGCAAGATACTGTATATATGTTTATAATTTATGTTTTAAAAGTTAGAAAAAACTCAGGAAAATTGAAATAAAATAAATGCTGGTTAACATTTGAGTTTTTGAAATTTTATATTTGCATGTTGCATAAACAAAGTAACAAGACTAAAAAAAACTCAGCAAATAGTTCATTTGTAGATACTCATTCTGTAAAGAGAACAAACACTAAAAGAATATATCTGTATTCCCTTTACATTGAAACATTCAACAGAGCTTTCCAAATTTCTAGTCTTTAATTCTTCCTCTTCCTAAGCCCATTTTCATTTGTCTTATACTTACCTGCCATTAAGAACAGACAGATGCCTATACTAAACCACACCTCTTTATACATCTGAGAACATCCATTTAGTTTTAACTTTCTTGGGACCCATTTCCCCAAACTTTTATTGCTTTGATTCTTGTTCTCTAGGAAAACTACTAGTTCCCCAAATTCTTTATGGAGTTGAACACCAAAACACTCATTTTCCTTATTTAAAAGCACATCCAACCTCATCATTTCTTAATCCCCTCTCCCAAGTACAATATATACTTAAGAAATGGAACAAGCAAATAAAAAAGCAACCCTTTAATCATGATTTCACTCATTTCAAATTTTCACACACACTGTGAATGAAGAAGAAAAATCCCCACATAAGTCCACTATGTTACACAGCACATTCTCTAGATTTCTACTCTTTGGCATTTACCCTTCCTTTCTGCCTACAAAAGTTCACTTAATGTCAAGTACTTCACTGTCCTTTTATTAATAGTTCAAACATGATGCATTTCCCTACACTTCTGTTTATACTGGTGCTTTCTGTCTAAAATCAAAAACACTTATAAGAACTGCCGAGCCTGTACATGTTTTTGTAAAACCACAGAAAACAGCCTTCCCATCTCTTAGAAATCAAAGACTACTAAAATGCTTTATTTTTAAATAATCACTTACAAAAAAAAAGAAGGCACTACTCTTTTATCTGCTGGTTTTTTCCCTTGAAACATAGTAACTCAGTGAGTTGCATATTTCCTGTGCTTCAAGAAAGATAAAGGTGTACCAGTAGTAGAAAAAGAAAAATCATGATTTCTCAAATACACTCACTCCTCTGGTAAACAAAATTCTAAACTACTCTTATACCTATCACCCTCTTCCCTCTTCTCCTGCCCCTACACATATTCTAGCTTCAAGCAGTAACAGTTTGACAGACTTTTCTGGAAGTCTAAAAAGAAAATGTCACTAAATATTTCCTTGCATTTATTTTTCACTATTCACAACCATTGATTTATTGACTAAGTTTAGTTTCCTAAGGCCACAGGAGATTAGACAGAAACTACAAACTCAGCAAGAGTGGTGGGGGATGGGAAGAATGATTCCAATGGGAATGTTGTTGTATAGGGCTGGTACAATGCAGTAAATGTGAAGGGGCTGCTGATAAGACACTGGAAGGTGAAAGAAAAATTGAATCTCACACAGTGCTCAGAATAACGACCCTGAGTCATCAATAAAAAGTTAAACTGCATCATGTATCTTCTACTTGTGGAGGCGGGACACATTATTTAAGAAAACGCCCATAGGAAATACAATTAAGATTCAGGGGAGTATGTCACTTATGTAGAAAACCTTATTCCTCTACACATCAAATATTAAGGCCTCCCTACATAAAAATTAAAACTTGCATTTGTTGCTAATTTACATATACTGATAGCTATTTACTGCTTCCCTTATGATTGTGTAGATGGCTAAAACTGGAAGCACTAATGAAGGTCTTTAAGTTTTAACTGCAACTATATTTACAAATTTAATATGCTCTATGCTTAAAAAGTTCTCCTTAATAAATTATAATTGGAATTTCAGTATCACTTATAAAGCATAATTTGTTTACTTAAAAGTAATGGTCGAAGAAAAAATATCAGTTTATTAAAAGAGACGTGGGAAAATAAATATAACACATGACAGAACGGGTTACAGGTTACAAACAGCCTCTCCCGGTTCAGGTGCCTCACCTTTCTGCAATAGCTTTAGCCAAAAGAGCTTTTTTACGTTTATTTTTCTCTTCCATTAGCCATTGTTCTTGTTGGAGGACTTCCCAACGAGATTTTTCTTGCCTAGGGGGCAAAAAAAAGCATAAAAATGAGTTTATGAAAGAAAAAGAAACTGCTACCCTATCCCACACCTTACCAGTCTCAGTCCCCTAAGTATAAAATTTAATCAAGAAGATTTATGTATATGTTCTTTCAAAAGTCCTCTTAAAAGAAACCCACCTGCAGTTCATTATTTTGTTCTAATGGGAACAAAGACTACGATCTAAAGTAAAGAGGCTTACATAAATTGGACCTCTGAAATCCATAATATGTATATAATCTAGGAACCCACAAACTAGAAGCGAGAATACTGTGCATGTGTTTAGGAGTACAAAGAAATTTGTGTAAGTTAATTATGTATTATATGCAGAATAGAGATTAATAAAAATTGGTCTGTAGCTGATGTCATATTACTTATACCTTTTAGAGTTTTCTATAAAGTCTCCACCACGTTAACATGCTTCAGACAATAACCAATGTTTATTTCATACGTTAATATTTTCTTCCAATTTGTTCACTTTTTCCCAACTCTTAGACTTTATTTTTGTCTGTTTTTTTTTTCCTTTTTGTGGAGAACGGGGTCTTGCTGTATTACCCAGGTAGGTCTCGAACTTTAGGCTCAAGCTATCCTCCTGCCTCTGCCTCCCTAAGTGCTGGGATTACAGGTGTAAGCCACTGTCCCAGCCCAATTCAGACATTTTTAAACGAAGTAAAACACTAAGAACTAAGACTGGAATGCTGGGCTAAAGAAAAAAGATGCAAAGATCTGAAAACATGTATTGTCTTACAATCTGTCCAATTCTAAAATAAATATATTAAAATTTCCCATAAAGTCATGAGCTTGATGCCAACTCAAATTAAACAAGGTACTGGCAAAACTATTTATTCCTATTACTGTCACTTCTTACAGCCATTATATCACACGTATCTATTCCCAAATCTAGTAACCACTTTCAAAATTGTCCCTACCTCTCCGTTCCTACACCTTAGTGTTGGGACTGGTCATTTCTCACTTTTACTATTGCAGGCATCTCTTCACTAGGCACCTTAGTTCCACAGCTCACCCTGCACTCTCTCCCATATGATCTACAACACTGACACCTGGAATTTCTCTAACCATTATTTTGATTGAGGCCTTTAGCCCTCAGGAGAGCTTCATGGTATCTTGCCGCATTAGTGAATTTGCTAGGCAGGCACCTCTGATCCTTTCTCATTTCTTTAATTCTCTACTTATTCATCCCCTGCTTCTGCTTCTGATCCTTCCTCATTTCTGTTTTCTTTTTTTTTTTTTGAGACAGTCTCGCTCTGTTGCCCAGGCTGGAGTGCAGTGGCACGATCTCGGCTCACTGCAACCTCCACCTCCCAGGTTCAAGCAATTCTTGTGCCTCAGTCTCCCAAGTAGCTGGGACTACAGGCACGCACGACCACGCCCAGCTAATTTTTTGTATTTTAGTAGAGTTGGGGTTTCCCCATGTTGGCCAAGATGCGCCTGCCTCAGCCTCCCAAAGTGCTAGAATTATAGGTGTGGGCCACCGCGTCTGTCCTCCTTCCTCATTTATTTAATTCTCTACTGTTCTCTGGCTCATCCTTTGCCATCTCTCCGAGAGAAATGAGATAGCATCTCCGAACATTCTCTAGGACACAGCTTTCCTTCCTCCTCCTTAAAACCTCAAAATTTCTCCTTTACGTGAATGGTTTAGGTTACATGTCTTTTATGAAAATTCTTCCAAGTATCTAAAAAAAGAATAAGTTTCCCTATGACATCTAATCTGAATTGTCCAGCTCAATGTAAACTTACCTCCTATTTGTCTCAGGCTTTTGTTGGTAAACTACACTTAGAGACACTTTAATGTATGTACTTGTTCAATGTAGATTTCATAAATTCATGTGGTTTTATAACTCTTGTCAAAATGATTTCTTAGTTGTAAACCCCTAGTGGACAGGAAACATTTTAAATTCACAGGATAGAATCTGGATCAGCAGAGATTAAAAAGATGTCAGAGATTAGAAAAAAAAAAAAGATACTTTGAAAAGAACTCAGAAAAGAGAAAACAGAGATAAAAGTCATTCCTTCTCCTCTGTGAGTGATAAATCAGCAGGAAACAAAGAAATAAGAGTATATATTAAAACACAAGCTATCAAATAAAAAATTCTAAGAATTTGCAAATCAAAAAATGGCACCTTCCACAAGAGCAGTGTAGCTAAATTATGAAGGTTGTTTCTAATACAAAGACAGTAAAGAATAAATAAAAAGAAACCTAATGATGAACTGAGTTTTATCATTAGTCCCCTAAATTTCCTACACTCTTTCCTTTGACCATCCCTTTATGTCTCTCCACAAGTTCCAATTTCTGGGCCAATGGAAATAGTCTGGAAGATGAAGAACGGGGTCAATTTGGGGAGAGGCACTATGCATATAATAACTGCTTCTGAGCCAAGATCGCGCCATTGCACTCCAGCCTGGGCAACTTAGCGAGACTCTGTCTCAAAAGAAAAAAAAGAACAGAAAAAAAAAAAAAAAGAACTGCTTCTGCTGAGTGTAAAAGGCATAAACTTCGGATCCAGACAGACTCATATGTAAATCTCAGCTCTACTATTTACTAGCAGTGTATTAGCTTTAGGAAGGTATCATCTTTTCTGAGTCCCAGATACCTCATCTATAAAGTTTAAATAATAAACATGCATTTTAAGGCTGTTATGAAGACTCAATAACATAAAACATACAGAATGACTAACAGCATCCAGCTTATATTTAGGTGGTAGCTGTTTTTCAATAGTTTATACATCACATTTCTAGGATTGAATATAAAAGAGAGAAAATGTTAAAATAAACAAGTTACATTTCCTTAAAGCCCACTGGGAAAAAAACGGTTTAGATGAAAAGTCTCATGGACTTTTCATATAGACTTACTAACAATTCCACTTTCTTTTTCTCCAGTTTGCAGTCTGGCTTTGGAGGTAGAATCTCAATATTGTTGTGACCATCATGGGAATTCTCAAGTCCCAGTTCCTTTGGCTGACTTTCAAGGCCCTGTGGTTGTCCATCACCAACAGGAGAGGTGAGAGGGAAATGATGTTTTAGTGCTGAAAGCAGCTGCTCTGGAGGTAATGAGGTTGATCCATCTTGAAGTCCAAGTTTTTGGCTTTGCTCTATAAGGGCTTTTTCTCGCTGAAGTTGTTGTCGACTTTTCTTCGCGGGGAGACGTCGCTGTGGTTCAAATGGATCTATGTAAAAGAAAAGAGAGGAAAATTCCTTTGTGTGAGCAGCAAATAATTATAATTCCTCTAAGAAAATAAAAAATTAACATTACAGTTTGATAATTCTAGTGGTTCTCCTACCCCATTCTCTATCTTGAAAGTCTAGGGGGAAAACAGCCATCTTCCTGCAGAGTTTCAACAGTTTTTAGATCGTAATATTAATATTTAACAGAAACTGCCCCATCTCTTAATTTATCTTCAGAGAAGTCCATCAGTGAATTAGGCCTTAGGTCACAAAGTGAGGTTTCTTTTTCAACTTGATTTCCTAATTGTCAAAAGAAATCAACTAATTTTGACCAAATCAGGGAGATGACTGAATTATCTGGTTTTAAATTTGATTTATGGTTCTGTCTGCTCTCCTGAACAAAACGGTGGTTGCATTTTCAAATGGGATTACCCTCTCTTAAATTTTAACAGCTTTTAGGGCAATTTGGTACATATGTGATACATATTCAGATTATAAAACAGAAATGTAGTTGAGTGAAGTCTCTTATTTCTAGGAATGCTAGTTAACCTTAAACTGTTTTCTTTCATCCTACAGAACAATCCAAGGTTGTACTCCCCAGAGCCTAGTCACGCTCTAATCAATGCATTCAAACTACTTTTAATAGTAGCCTGAGCAAAGCGATAGAAGATAAAACAACTGGAGGGAAATATCTTTAAAGTTATAAATAATAATACTTCTATTACACTTTTTGGACTGTCCATGCCAGTGTAAACATTTTAGGGCAGACAACTGGAGAATCTGACTCACATTCATACTATATTTAATAAGATCTATAAATAGCATTCTCTCTTAAATGCCTGGGAAGTGAAATTATGAGTTTTTGTAAACGAACAACTCAAATGGGACATTCAGATTTGGCATATTGACTTTTGAAGCAAAACAAGCTTATTATTCGAATTTCCCAAAGTATAGTTAAAAGCTCTAGAGTCACAATTCCAGCTTTGCTTCTGCCCAGTTCACTGACCTCAGGTAAGTCAATTATTTATTCAATATCTTAGTTTCCTCATCTATCAAGCTGGTTGAAAATTAACCTGCTCTGATGCATGAAATTGGTCTAAGAATAAATGAGATACGTACAGAAAACATTTTTTAAAAGACTGAGGTACTATCAAAAGCAAATGCTATTGTTGACTTTAGCCAGAAACCCAAAGTATCCTCCTGTACCTTGCAACAGGAACACATTCTTGGCTCTGATCTTTATTCATACCATCAAAAAATGTCACTTAGCCTGCTTACCTCCCTGTTGAACTCATTAGCTGAATTATTAATAGTTCCTCTGAAATTCAGGTAGTCACTTCTATTTTATTTCGCATTTTTACAGAACCTACCTATAAGACCGAAAATGCTAATTTTAAACAATAAACAATAAGCAAATCAGGCCACTTAAACACAGAACATACTGTTTCCCACACTGTGTATTAGGGGCTGCAAATATCAAGGAGACTGGTGAACTGAGAAGCACAAGTCTGGTGGTAAGGGGGCAACTCATAGTCACCTTTAGTCAATTGCTATCATTAAAAAATTTAGGTCAGCATAGCCAGATATTTTGATTTTTATGATTACAATTTAGACTTTTATGTAAAATATCTTGATTTTTAAATGTAGGGAACTGTCTCAATCAGGAAAATCTAGATTATGCTGTAGGGGCAAATCTTAGTGGTTTTAAACCACAAAGGTTTATTTTTCATTAATGACATGTGCCAACTAAAGGCTAACAGAGTGGTTCTGCTGATTAGTCTCTCAGGGCTCTAGGCTGACTGTACAGTCAGTATTCAGTGTTGCTGGCCACCACAACACGGGGAGAAAAGAGAGGTCAGGAAGGTCTTGCTACAGCAATTAAGTGCTCTGACCCAATAGTGACGTAACACTTCTGCTCACAATTCAATGGCTCACCTAGTACATGGACCTACCCCCAAACAAAGGCAACAGTTATAGCTGGCTTACCAAATAACACAATGATTATCACCATTATTAACTTAAAATAAATGTAAAGATTGGATAAATGAAAGAGATAGAGAAGAAAGAAAGGAAGGAATGAAAGAGGGAGGGAGGGAAGAAGGGAAGGAAAGGCAGGCAGGCAGGAAGAAAGGAGGAAAAAAAGAAAGAAGGGGGAAGGACGCAGGCAAAGCCGAAAAGCCGCATACATTTTTGGGTTAAATTAAGCCAATGGACTACCAGTTTGTGATATATGCTCCATATCCCTTATTTAAGCCCTGCTCCCCCAACCCCAGAAAACTATCATTTGAATCGTATGTTGATTATTCTCTTCCTTCTCTAATAGACATGTTGCATCTATGAATATTTCTAAAAAGTATTTACTTAGTTGTCCAACTTTATAAAAAGGGTTTTGTGCTGTACATCTGTTTTACTTAATATCACACTGTCAATAGTCATTCATATTGTCTACGTTGCAGCAGTCACTAATTTTGTTGTATAACATTTCATTGTGTGAGTAAACCAGAGTCTACTGATCTTCTTCCACTGATAGACATTTAGGTTGGTTACAGGTTTTTGCTTTTGTAAATTTTCAATACTGTCTCTCTTATTTTACATGTACAAGAATTTGCTTTGGATATTATCTCAGAACTATTGAGTCACAAAGTATAACTTTAGAAGAAACGTGAAAATGCTTTCCAAAGTGTACTCCCTCTAGTAATGTGTAAGATCCTGTGGATGTACTTTCTCTTCAATATACAATACTGTCAGATGTTTTAATTTTTGTCAATCAAATGGGTGTAAAATAGTACCTCACTGTGTTCTTGATTTGTAATTCTCTGCTCCTTGGTGGTGATGAGCATCTCTTCATAGTTCCTTTTCTAGGAAATATCTATTCATGTCTTTTGTTGACTTGACTTTTGGCTTGCACTTTTTTATATATCAGCAGAAAACAATTAGAAAATACAATTAAAGAGAATATATTTCAATACCAGAAATTATCAGTTATCTAGGAACAAATCTAACAAAAAGATGTTTAATACCTCTATAGGGAAAACTATAAAATTTACTGAGAATTTAAACAAGTACTAAATAAATGGAGACATATACCATGTTAGTGGTAATGTTAATAATATGAAGATGAAATTGATCTAAAGAGTCAATGCAATTACAATCAAAATTCCTAATGGGTTTTCTGTTAAATTTGGTAAAATTATTAAAATTTTTATATGAAAAGATAGAAGGTCAGGAATAGTGGCCAGGTGCAGTGGCTCACACCTGTAACTACTATACTAATTATAGTAAGAAACCAATTTCTTAAGACACGGAAATGTTCGCTATTAAAAAAAGGTTCACATGTTTGAATATATTAAAATTAAGGCCCAGCATGGTGGCTCATGCCTGTAATCCCAGCACTTTGGGAGGCTGAGGGAGGAGAACTGCTTGAACCCAGGAGTTTGAGACCAACCTAGGCAAAATAGCAAGATTCTATCGCTACAAACAAAAAAAAAAAAGAAAGAAGAAGAAGGAGGAAAGAAGGAAGAAGAAAGAAAGAGAGAGAGAGAAAGAAAGAAAACTAGTGTGGTGTGATGGCACACAGCTGTAATCCCAGCTACTTGGGAGGCTGAGGCAGGAGGATCGCTTGATCCCAGGAGTTCAAGGTTATAGTGAGCTATGATCGCGCTACTGCACTCCAGCCTGGGCAACAGAGAGCCAGTCTCAAAAAATAAAATATTTTGTTCATCATAAAGATAAAAGTGAAAAGACAACTTAAAAACTGGGAGAAGATATTCATAATGTAACTGGCAAAGAATCAGTATGAAGAATAACTCTTCTGAATAAACTATTTAACTAAAAATTGACAGCATGTGGCTGTACTGTTTTCTTCCAATTTTTCATTATGAAATAGATCATACATCAAATATATGCATGTGTTACACTCATAAACACAGTCTTCCAACCTATATGATTAAAAAAAAGTTTAAGAAATAAAATATGACTGCAGTAGAAGTAACTACTGTTTAACGATAGACATAACCCTCCTTCTAGAAGGTAAGAGAGAATTTATGTCCTGTCCCCCAAGTTGTATGACTTGCTTTTGGTAAATAAAATATAAGTAGGAGTGTCACATGTCATTTACTGGTGAAAAGATTTAATTGCCAATGTTCAATTTTCAATCTTCTTTTCTTCCTACCATGGTAAACTCCTACAAGACAGCACCAAAAGATGGAGTGACTGTGAAACACAGTCACCTGCCAAACCCACATTAAACATGAAACTAGAGTGAAAACCAAATCTTTATTTTAAACAATTGACATATTAGGGCTATTTGTTACTTTAGCTTAACTTGCCTTAACCTGATTTCATAAATTACCAATACCTCGGAATTTTCCTCTCCCTGATCACATTCCCACGCCTCCCCACTATATACAATCATACGTCACTTAACAATGGGCTACATTCTGAGAAATGTGTTGTTAGGCAATTTTGTCCTTGTGCAAACATCAGAGAGTGTATTTACACAAACCTAGATGGTACAGCCTACTATATACTTAGGCTATATGGTACAGCCTTTTGCTCCTAAGCTCCAAACCTGTACAGTATGTCACTATACTGAAGAAAACACAGAAAAAGTGCCGTAAAAACAGGGTATTATAATAATATTACCAGGCCACCACTGTATATGTGGTCCACTGATAACTGAAATACTGTTATTGAGTGTGTGACTGTATATATTATACATACAGCTAGCTGATCCTTGATATATGAGGATAACTGGTTCCAGGATCCCCATGTATACCAAAATCTGTGCATACTCAAGTCCCACAGTTGGCGCTGTGAAAACCACATATACCAAAAGTTGGCCCTCCATATACTCAGGTTTCGCATCCCCCAAACACTGTATTTTTAAAATGCACATTTGTGTATAAGTGAACCGTCACAGTTCAAACCTGTGTTGTTCAAGGGCCAAGTGTAATCACATATACTGTATTAACAAACATGTTAATGCATGTAGTTACAGTTAATACTAATATATTCCCACCAGCTGTACAGTAGTAGCCCACTAGATGAGTATACCACAATTTATTTACCCATTCCCTTGTTAATGAACACTTTGGTTGTTTCCAACTTCTTAATATTACAAACAAGACTATTAACAACGTTCTTGACCATGTTCCTCAATGCATACACAGGGGTCTCCAGAGTACTACTGTCCTTATTTTTGCTGGCAACCAACTCCATCTTCTTAGATTATTCAATAAATGTTTAAGAATAGAGAACAGCTAGAAATGGGCTTTAAAATTAAAGGGCCAAATCCTCTAATTTTACAAATAAGGAATCCAAGGGGAAAAGATTTAGAGGAAGAGCTGAAAGTTCTATATGCCAATCACTGTGTTTAGCTAGGGGTATACAAGGATGTTAAGATATTTTCCGTCCTCGAGGTGGTCACGGACTAGTTATTTGGTTTCCACACTCTACAGTGGGCCTTGAAGTTCAGGTCCTTACCATCCTCTATCTACCCCCAGTTGCAAAGATATTTCAAAATATACTTCTACATAATTAATATAATGTGTAATTCTGATTTTCAGATTAAGTCGTCTTTACCCTGCAAAATGCGCCTCTGCTAACACACAATCTTTGTGAAATCTTCCCAAGCTCCATCCAATCTCCGGCAGAGTGAGGTTCCTCTTGTCTCTGAAGCAAGCTTTTGCAATATCTACTATCACATAACTTTGTGATTTGTCTCCTCATGAGTCTACTGGAGTCAGACCAGAGGCCAGGGCACTTGTACCCTGTACATCAGAGTATGTGAATAGATGTTGAAAACACAGAGCAAAAGAATTCGAGCATATAAAGCAACACAGAGTCAGTTAACCACACAGCGTAGCATAACCTTTTTGATAAGAGTTTTTAAAGTCCCCTGGACCAGTCAAAATGTCCCCAATCGATATAATCTACATTGGTCCTATCTTACTAATTTACTTCTTTTCCCACTTGCCCGCCCTAGACTATTCTCACATCTATGCTAAAAATGCACAAGCTACCAGAGCAACATCTAACTTCCCCACACACGCTAATAAAAGGTTTACTTCATTTTCTACCAAAATAAAGTATTTGAATTAAGGTACCAAGAGCGGTATACACTTCTTACAGAAATTGTGTGTACTACCAGGATAACCACACGGATCACTGCGAAATTTCAACCACAAGTGCAGTGCAATCAGTATTACTAAGTTTTCCACCAACAATCAGCAAACTTAATTCCTTCATTAAAAAAAAATATATATATATATATAGTACAAGCCCATTCAATGCTTACTCTAAAAAAGCCAGAGAGAGAAGAACAAGATTAGCTTACTCCAAAGTAAGACTGTATGTATATAAACATATAAAGTCTTCACATCTACCCTCTCAAAGACCCTTTTGGTTTGCTGATTCTCAAAAATTGGAAAGAACTGCAAAAATCATCTGGCAACCAGAAGTGAATGCAACACTCCAGATGAATTGTGAAAAGTACCAAATTTTTGCCTTTATTCAGACGCCTGTGCTCATTTTTTCCAATCTTCTGCTTCTGTAAATTCACCACAATTCTAATATGATGTGCGCCCCTCCTCCTTCCCTTACCCTGACCCTAACCCTCCAACTGTCGATTCCTGCAGCAATCCTCCCTAAGGAAGACACACAGGCTGTAGGCTCATTTCCTCTCCCAAGTCCCATTCCTTTCACAAGAGTCAAATCCCTACAGTGGATTCCTGGACCGTTTTTCCTAAAAGAAGATCCCAGTCCTCTGGCTTGCCCCTCCCGTCGTGACTTCCAGTAAGTCCACCTCTCAAACCCCCTCAAACCAGTCCACGTACTTACAGCGCCTTCCGCTAACACAAACGTAGCCACTTCCACGCCCCCTTCCCCCGCCAAAGCTGCATCCCCGCCCCTTCCCCTTAAGGACCAAGAATTAAAACACTGTAAACCCATCTTGTTACCTTTAGTCTGCTTTAGTCTCCTCAGTTCCTCGTCAGAGAAGCCTGCCCAACCTTGCGCCATTGGCCCGGGCAACCGGCACCCCCAAAAGTGCCCAAATCTCGGAGCCGCGACTGCCAACACTGCTGTCCAGCGCATCCGGGTTTTTCCTCGGCCGGGGCCAATCAGTGCGTCGGGCTCCAAACACAAGGCCCTCTCTCGGCGGCCTCAGGGTCCGGCTTTCTTCCAGGCTGCCTTCAGCAGTGCCTGACAAACTGCCTAAGGAAACCTTGCCACGCAGACATTCGTTTCCCCCAGGCTTGCCTCTGCGCTCGCTCTCTCTCTCGTTTCTCACTGTTGCTGGTTAATCGCTTCAGGAGCTAAGGGGGGAAATGGCGATGGGGATGAGAGTGGAGATAAACAGGTATTTGGGAAGGAGCTACGAGTCGGTGGCGGAAACGGGAGATCAGAGTGCCTTTTGGGTCCTGTACCTGTAGGGCGGGAGCGGTGCTCTCTGTGGCTCTTAGTTTGCCCTGAAATCGTTGTGTTTTGCTGGGAGTGTGCACAGCGCTGGAGGCATCCTTCAGATTGACTCAGGAAATGATCAGATTTAGGATTTTGATGATGAAGAAACATTTAAAAGGGGTGGGGTATAATTAACGAAAAGGGAACAGGCATAACCAGGTCTCTCGCAGGCCGGAGCGTCTCCCAGATTTCTTTTGCTTTGGGTTGTTTCCTTTGTGAATAATTATAATATATAACTTTCCTCCTAAAGGATTGCTTTTTCGTTTTTTCCTTCCCTTTTTTTTTTTTTTTTTAGACGGAGTTTCGCTCTTGTTGCACAAGCTGGAATGCAATGGGACGATCTCGACTCACTGCAACCTCTGCCTCCCGAGTAGCTGGGATTACTGGCGCCCGCCACCACACCCGGCTAATTTTTTGTATTTTTAGTAGACACGGGGTTTCACCATGTTAGCCAGGCTGATCTCGAACTCTTGACCTTAGGCGATCCGCCCGCCTCGGCCTTCCAAAGTGTTGGGATTACAGGCGTGAGCCACCGCGCCCAGCCAGGATTTCTTAAATGTCTCCCCTTTAAATCTATTTTTCAGAGAAGACATTATAAAATGTCGGTACTGGGGGATGAGAAGGCATTTCTTAGGATCCTGCCTGGAGTCCTAATACCGTAGTTCGGGTTCTGCCTTGAACACTAACCTGAGATCCCATTTCCTCATTTGAAGTAGGGTTGCAAAGATTAAAAGATGCAAGCGTTGTCAAAATACACATAGATAAGGATGATTTAAGAGATACCTAGTTATACTATTTTTCATGCTTCTCTTTCACTGTTTTTGCAGTGAGAACAACAAAACACTTCATCTTGGCTTACATTTTAAAATACTTTGGCTTTAGTGTGTTGATATTTTTAAGCAAAATGAAAGAAAAGAGTAAAGTACAAAATAAAACACGTCGAGAAAAGTTGAAAGGAGTACTTCAGATTTAGTAAGTGATCAGAAAGTGAAGGATGTTTGGAATTTCCCATGTAAATCTGAGCTTTTCAACTTAAAGTGGTTTGTGAAATTTGGGGATGCTGCAGATGTGTCATTTTAAATGTGTACTCAGTTTTCGTAACATTAAACAATTAAAATGCCATCCAAGAGGACTGGAGGAGACAGTTGCCTCCAGTTTCTGAACATAAGACTAAGTATATTCAAGTTATAGATTATCTAGCTCCAAAGTAGTAGACGGGAATCAGTGGCAATCTGGTAGTTAATTCAGTTTCCCATTTGCAGGCAACCACCATCTAGTTCATCTAATAACAGTAAACCACCTTGTGTGCCCCATGTTGAATTTTACACATAAATGTTCTTTAGTTCACTCTGGGGGAATTTCAAAAATTATCCGTAATCTTAATAGAGATGTAAATTAGGATATTTTAAAAGGTTTTGCATTGGCCGTCAATGAGAACCAAAGCAAAAGTGACATGTAGTAAAAGATAATAAAATCCGTCTGTACAAAGTTATAATTTCCAGTTTGCTAGGTTCTAAATCTCCTGTTTGTTGTTTCTGTTGGCTCTCCCTCATGGTGGCTAGTTTCTTCAAATGATGTGTAATATTTAAGTGGGAATTTATCTTCAAAATTCTTTGTTCTGCAGACGTCTTCTCTTCCCTGGGTTGAGGAAGTGTCTCTACAGATTGGTTTTATTGATCCTAAAGTTTCAGTTGTTTTAAACCAGATTTAAGGTAATTTTTTCAGCTTCTACTGTAAATTTGGTTCTTGGGTTCCACCCCCATATATGATACAGGACTCAGGTCTCAGTGTTTTGTAATTGTCTTTATTTATATACAAATTATACACAACTTTATTTTCAATAATCTTGTCTTCAAATAAGTGAAGGAGACCCAATCCCTAGGATCTATATTTAGTTAGAATCCCCCTTTCTACATCTCTGTAGCTTTCTTTTAAGATCTATGATGTATTTTTTGATTATGTAAATAAAAACATGTTATATGTTTTTATGTAAACAAAAAATAATAATAGTAATAGTACTCACAGATAGCAAGCTTCCTTACTGCTTTTCCAAAGCAACAGTCTTAAGGTTTTGTGTTTTTTTTGTTTGTTTGTTTGTTTTGTTTTAAAGACAGGATCTCACCCTGTTACCTAGGCTGGAGTGCAGTGGTGTGATCTTGGCTCACTGCAACCTCTGTCTCCAGGACTCAAGCGATCCTCCCATTTCTTTGTCTCCGGAGTAGCTGGGGCTATAGGTGCCCACTACCACGCATGGATAACTTTTTTTAAATTATTATTATTATTATTATTATACTTTAAGTTCTAGGGTACATGTGCATAACGTGCAGGTTTGTTACATATGTATACTTGTGCCATGTTGGTGTGCTACACTCATCAACTTGTCAGCACCCATCAACTGGATAACTTTTATATTTTTATTTTTTTGTAGAGATGAGGTTTTGCCATGTTGCTCAGGCTGGTCTCGAACTCCTGAGCTCAAGCAGTCTGCCCAGCTGGGCCTCCCACTTGCTGGGATCACAGACATGACCCACTGTGCCTGGAGTTTTTCTAATCCTCTCTGATCACATGGTCTATCTTTTCTAGACTCTCAGCTTTATTTCAGCAATCTTGTCTTCAAATTATGTGTAGGAATCCCAATCCCCAGGACCTGTATCTAGGTAGAGACTCCCCCTTTCTACATCTTCTTTGCTTTCTTTTAGGCTCTGTGATATATATTTTTTGTTTACATAAATAAGAACATGTTATACAGTATTTAGCATCTTTATGTGTTTATGGAAGGGGACCAGCTATGACAATTTAGACAATAATCTCCAGCTGATTCTGCATCAGAGCGACTAGAGTAAAAATGAAGACTAATTGTGTCTGTAGCCTGGTCAAAGCTGGTAAAATGTCTTCCCAGCACACTTTGAATAAAATCTGTTTCTGCATGATCCTACATGATCTCACCCCTGTCTACCTCTCTTATGTGATCATTAGGCTGTCTTTCCCTTTACTCTGCACTCCCTATAATCCAGCCAAATTGGCATTCGTTGGGGTTTTGGAATACACCAGACTTTCTTTTCTACTACCCTCTACTACCTACCCAGGGCTTTCCCAAATGCTGTCCTTTAATTATTATCTTTCCCTTGTCTGGCCGATTCTTCCTGCTTCTTTACGTTTTGGCCTAAAATATTCACATAGACATTCTATGACCACCCTATCTAAGTAGCACCCGCCCACTTCTATGTTCTTTGTAACTTTTACAGCACTAATTAAAGTTTCTCATCTCTTCCGTCTACAGACTGAGCTCCCTGCTTTACCAGCATTTATCCTCGAGTGTAAAGTGACCCATCCAATTCCCTTTTGTATACTGCCAGTTGCCTCTCTTCCTTTCCTGTCCCCGCTCCTTTGCCTGACTCTTCATTTCTACCTACGTCTTGGGGATATAGGACTGCCTTTCTGACCCTTATGCCCTCCTTACCCAGGATCTGTAAATAAAAATCTTTGAACTTCCTATTGTGGTTGTGTATTGAATTTGTGCCTTCCATCTGGAGAACATGGGGCTACCCCAGACCAAGTTTTGCCCTGGAGAAACACAGGTTGGACTCCCAGTGCCAGAGCAGTGGTCAGAAAGGCATAGAGTGGATGTGGGTCAGACAAGAGCCACAGGGGTGTCTGCCAGTATAAACAAGATCCCCCTGTGAGGGACCCCCTGGTTGTGGGTCAGACAACTAGGATGACCACCAGGTAAAAGAAGTATCCCATGAAAGGCACTCTGGAAACACCCATATCTAGTTCCCCTTCATTTCCTGTAAGATTAGGGTTGCTATGGTACTACAACCCCAGTTTAGCTCTGGGCTCTCAGTAAGTCTTGCACACCTGTCAGATTTATTTTACATAGTTAATAACACGATGCTATTATAGTGTTATTTTTACTTTCAATTTTTAATTATTTATACCTGCTACAGTCTTAATTTTGGTATGCCTCGCAAGATTCATATTCTGGAACTTAATCTTCATATAACAGTATTAAGAGGTAGGGCGTTTAGGAAGTAATTTGATCATGAGGTCAGGGCTGTCATATATGGGATTAGTGTCCTTATAAAAGAGGTTTGAGGGGGTCGGCTTGCCCCTTCTATGTGCATATGCAGCAACAAGATTCCATCTATGAAGCAGAGAGTAAACCGTTACCAGACACCAAATCTGCCGACACCTCGGTCTTGGACTCCCCAGCCTCTAGAACTGAACAATAAATTTCTGTTGTTTTTAAATTATCTAGTCTAAGGTATTTTGTTATAGTAGTCAAATGAGCTAAGACAATATAGAAATAAAATGGACTCATTGATCTTGTATCATCTAACCACAATAAACACATTTATTAGTTGTAATAGCATTTTTTGGTGGATTTCATTGGATTGTCTACATAGACAGTCATGTCTGCAAATAAACAGTTTTACATCTTGTTTTCTAATCTGGTTGCTTTGCTTTTTATTTCCTTTTTGCCTTATTGCGCTGGCTAGACCCACCAGTAAAATGTGGAATTAAAAAAAAGAGATTATATACCCTGACTTGATTCTGATCACAAGGGAAAAAACATGAAGCCTTTCACCATTAAGCATGATGTCAACTTTAGGTTTTTCATTAATGCCCTTTAACAGCTTATGAATTTCCTTTCTGTTGCTAGTTTTCTGAGAACCTTTCTCAGAATGGATAGTGGATTTTGATGCATGCTTTTTCAGAGTCTGTTGAGATGATCATATGATTTTTCTCTTTCAGATTGTTAATATGGTCAATTGCATTGAGTGGCCAGTGTTACACTAATCTTGTATTTCTGGGATAAACTCCATTTAGACATGATATATTATCCTTTTTATATGTTGGGTTTAATTGTTAATATATTTTATTTAGAAATTCTACATATGTTCATGAGGGATATCTGTCTGTAGTTCTGTTTTTTGTAAAGTCTTTGTCTGATTTGGGATCAGGGTAATATTCTGATAAAATGAGTTCAGAAATAGTCTCTCAAATTTTTTGGCCAACTATGTGCCACTAATATTCATTATATACTTGATCGAATTTACCAGTGAAGTCATTTGGAGTTTCCTTTGTGGGAAAGTTTTTAACTTCAAATTTAATGACTTTAATAGATACAGGGCTATTCACATAATCTTCATGACTTTGGTGTTTTTTCTCTCAAGATACTTGTCCATTTTATCTAAGCTTTTCAATGTATTGTCATAAAGTTGTTTATAATACTCTTTTATTGTGCAGTAAAGAGTTAACTTAGTGGGCTTGGGATGCTCAAACCCTGCACTTGCCAAAGATTAGCCTTTGCCTGGCTCCTAGGAGATAAGCTCCAAGCATTTAGAATATCCCACCTAATAAGATCATCTTTATATACATGGGGCTTTTGGCCTTACCAGATAGTTTATGCTAACAGCGTGATTTAGTAAATGAATGTTTTTGTTTGTTTGTCTTCCTGAGCCATGCTGTATCAGTTTGATGTCTGGAAGGGCTGGAGATTGGGTAGCTAAAGTCAGTTATATGAGTGCTCTCTGCCTATGTGATTGACCCCCAATAAGAACACTGCACGTCGAAGGGAGCTTCCTGGTTAGCAATCAACACTTCGTAAGCATTGTCACACATAATTGCTGGGAGAATTAAGTGCTGTCCACACAAATATACTAGGAAAGGACAGCTATAAGCTCACACTTGATTTCTCATAGACAGCTATAAGCTCACACTTGATTTCCCTATGTGTCTTTTGCCTTTGCTGATTTTAATCTGAATCCTTTCATTGCAATAAACTGTAAATGTGAGTATGACTGCTTTTCTCAGTTCTATGAGTCTTTCTGGCAAATCATCAAACCTGAGAGTGGCATGGAGACCTCTTTAATATCTGTAGACTTTGTAGTGATTTCACTTCTCTACTGATATTGGTAATTTGTGTCTTCTCTCTTTAAAATTTTTTTTGTCACTGTCATTAGAGGTTTATCAGTTTTATTAATTTTTCTTCAATAAACTTTTGGTTTTGTTGAACTTTTCTATTGTTTATTGGTTTTCTATTTTGTTGATTTCTGTTCTAATCTTTACTGTTGTATTTCTTCTGCTTTCTTTGGATTTCATTTGCTCTTCTTTTCCTAGTTTCTTAGGGTGGAAACTGAGTTCATTAATTTAAAACTTTTCTTCCTTTCTAAATAAGTGCTTAATGCAATAAAATTTTCCCTAAGTATCACTGTAGCAGTATCCCATGAATTTTGATATGCTGTGTTTTTATTTTCATTCAATTCAAAATTCATTTTTATTTCCTCTTGATTTTTTGATTCATGGATTATTTGAGATTTTGTTATTTAGTTTCCAAATGTTTTGGAGATTTTCTGGAGACCTTTCTCTTATTGATTCCTATTTTTAGTTCCATGTCATCAAAATTTAATTTGTATAATTTAAATCCTTTTAAATTTATTAAGACTTCTTAAATGTCTTGGCTGGACGCGGTGGCTCATGCCTGTAATCCCAGTACTTCGGGAGGCCGAGGCAGGTGGATCACGAGGTCAGGAGATCAAGACCATCCTGGCTAACACGATGAAACCCTGTCTCTGCTAAAAATACAAAAAATTAGCCGGGCATGGTGGTGGGCACCTGTAGTCCCAGCTACTGGAGAGGCTGAGGCAGGAGAATGTCATGAACCCAGAGGCGGAGCTTGCAGTAAGCCACTGGACTTCGACCTGGGTGACAGAGAGAGACTCTTTCCTCAAAAAAAAAAAAAAAAGACTTCTTAAATGTCTCATAATATAATTTCCCTTTAAATTTTTTTTTGATTTAGAGTTTTGCTCTTGTTGCCCAGGCTGGAGTGCAATGGCGTGATCTCAGCTCACCACAACCTCCGCCTCCCAGTTTCAAGTGATTCTCTTGCCTCAGTCTCCTGAGTAGCTGGGATTACAGGCATGCACCACCACACCCAGCTAATTTTTGTATTTTTAGTAGAGATGGGGTTTCTCCATGTTGGTCAGGCTGGTCTCGAACTCCCAACCTTAGGTGATCTGCCTGCCTCGGCCTCCCAAAATTAGGTTTTTAAGTCCTCTATATCCTTACTCATTTTCTGACTCCTTGTACTTTTATTTATTGAGAGACCATAAATACTCTATTATAACTGTAGATTTGTTCATTAATCCTTGCAATTATCTCAGTTTTGTTTCATGTATCTTGAAACTCTGTTATAAAAATAACAGGTGAATAAATATTTGTGTTTGTATGTCTTCTTGATTCTTTGACTCATTTATCATAATGAAATGATCTTTTTCTTCCCTCTAATTTTGGTCTGAAATCTGCTTTGTCTGATATTAATATAGCAACTGTAACTTTCTTTTGCTAAATATTAGCCTTGGTATATCTTTTGCCTCTTTCCTTTTTCTAATGATTGTATCCATTTCCTTTACAAACTTATTAGCTATATTCTTTGTTTTGTTATTTTAGTGATTGCCCTAGGGTTTTGGCATGTATTTTTAACTCATCATAGTCCATCTTCAGGTAATGTCATACCACATGTACTATAAGAACCTTATAAATATACACTTCTACTTTTTCTCTCCTGGACTTTTGCTATTGTTTCATACCTTTCATTTATACATACGCCTTCAAATCCACACTGCAATGTTATCATTTTTGCTAAAATAGTAAGTTAACTTTTAAACAGATTTAAATAAAAATATATATTTACATATGTAGATAAAACTTCCTGTGTTCTTCACTTCTTTGTGTAGATTCATATTTCCATCAGGCATCATTTTCCTTCTACTTATGGGCTTTTTTCTTTTCTTTTTTTTAGTATTTCTTACAGTGTAAGTCTGCTGCTTATTAATTATTTCAGCTTTTGTCTGAAGGAAAAGTCTTCATTTTGCCTTAGTTTTCAAAAGATATTTCACTAGATATAAAATTCTAGTTTAACTTTTTTTTTAATTACTTTATACTCTTCCACTCTTCTAGTTTGCCTTGTTTCTGATGAGAAATTTGTATCATCCTCATCTTTGCTCCTTCTTACATAATGGGTGTTTTTTTTCTGTCTTTTAAGATTTTTACTTTATCACTGTTTTTGATCAATTTGAATATGATGTACCATGGTATAGTGTGTAGCTTGCTTACTTTCTCTTTTTTTTCTTTCTTTTCTTCTTTTTCTCTTTCTTTCTCTCTTCCTTTTTTTCTCTCCTCTTTCTTCTCTCTTTTCTTTTATTTTATTTTCTTTTCTTTGAGATACCTGAATGTCTGGGTTTATAGTTTTCATCAAATTTGAAAGTTTTCTGACCATTATTTCCTTAAATATATTATTTATTCTCCCTTCTTTTTTCCTCTTCTTTTGGGGATTCCATTACATGTTAGCTACTTGAAATTTTTCTGTAGCTCACTGATGGTCATTTCCCTTTTAACATCTTTTTTTCTCTCTTTGCTTCATTTTGTATAGTTTCTATTGTTACATCTTTAAGTTCACTAATATTTTTAATGATTTTTTTCTCTAATATCTAATCTTTTATTAATTGCATCTAGTATATTTTTTATTACAGACATTGTAGTTTTCATCTCATCTCAAGATACTCAATTTAGATAGTTTTTGTATCTTTGATTATTTAAGGTATTTTTATATCTTTTCAACATATGGAATACAGGAATGACAAATATTAATATTCATGTCTGCTGATTCTAATAACTGTGTTAGTTCTAGGTAAGTTTCAATTGATTAATCTTTTTACTCATTATTTATATTTTCCTACTACTTTGCATGACTGGTAATCTTTTGTTTGGTTCAAGACATTGTCAGTTTTACCTTGTTGGGTGCTAGCTATTTTTTGTTTTCCTATAAATATTTTTGAGCTTTGCTCTGAGATATACTTAAGTTACTTGAAAATAGGCTTATCTTTTTGAGTCTTGATTTTGGAATTTGTGACATAACCAGAGCAATGGTTAGTCAAGGACTAACTATTCAATGATT